TAAGTTGCTTAGATTATTATAATAAAGTTAGTTTATGGTAATGTTTATCGATTTGATAGCTTATTTATGTGTTTAAGGTAATTTGAAAAGATAGGTTTTTGTAGCCCAATATCACTCTCCACGACATTTGCTATTCATGAGCATCTCTGGAACGTATCCCCCTCGAATGAGGGAACACTGCGTTCTCAATGTGGTGGTGATGCGTTGCTTGTGGCCGATGGCAGAGCTCATCGCTGTTAGCAAGAGTGCAAGTGTGTATAGTGTTGCAGAGTCTCTTCCTAAGCGGTTTCTGCAGTGGTGTTTTTGTTTTCTCGACTGCTTGAGGATACAGCCTCCTACTGCGCTCGCCTGCGGCACTTGAGAATTGTGGCCGGGCAAGCAAGGCTCGTCTCGCATGCTTCGCTTGGGAGTGTCGCTTGTTAATGTTGACATTTAAAAAAAAAAACCCAAGTTGTATAAAAATGAAGTGCGCGTCTCCCTACCGTCAAATAGCGAGGGCAGTGCTCATTTCTGTTGGCTGTCCTCGGCAAGTTGTGGAAATTCAACATTCCGACGTTCGGGGCTTAACTCTTCACGTGACAACTGATGTAGACGTCCCACGTTTAAGTGATCATATTATGTAACCGGGAGAGATGAACAGAGTCCATGCCAAGCCGGGATGTGAACTCGCATGCTTTTGTGAGTTGCGCTTAAACAACAACAACAGAGTTAATCAATGTCCGAGTGCCTTTACTTCTTGAAAGCGCTTTGTAGAAAATTGTAATAAATCTAATAGATTGCAAATGGTAGCATGAAAAAAATATACCAAGCAGTGGGTATAAATTATCTGTAAAAAGCAGCAGTTCAAGCGAGGGTGGGAAAAAATATCCAAGTGAACGCCCTACAGTAAAAATATATTCTCAAACTTTAAAACCGCAACAGAGGAAGGCCCCCTCCCTTGGTGATGGTGCCAGTTAATTCTATGGTATAGGGCAGGGGTCGGCAACCTACGGCTCCGGAGCCGCATGCGGCTCTTTACGGGCTGCTTCTTGACTATATGTACGTATGTACAGTATGTACTCAGATGCATTGCGGCTCTTGAAATACTGAATTTTGTAGCGAATTGGAAAGAAATGGCTCTTGTTATTTTGGTTGCCGACCCCTGGTATAGGGAATCCTACTCTGCAGGCGAAATAATCTGACACCGTTGGGCAACCTTGAGCAAGGCTGCATGCTGTAATCTAAGAGGCTGAACAAGTGACCGATGCGGCCAACAATTCCTTTAGTTACAAGGTACCCAGGGTGACGTGGAGCATCACCTTGTCACAGGCAGCACCTTGACATCGATCCTGAACCGAACATTCCCACCCAGCGACGCGCACTGGGTGCCAGGGTGGCGCGATGTTAACTGCCTCGCCTTCATAATAATTCATAATAATTAACGTTTTTGGGTAAGATCGCGTTATTTATAAATGTGTCGTAACCGTCCACCACCCGACACGGTCAACCAGCAAAAAAGTGTCACGTTGAGAAAAGATAAATGGTTCACTACTTTAGCCCACCGGTGTGTTGAAGAGTGAATCCACAACATTTACAGTTTTTGAGTACGACGTTTTGCTGGTAATTACATCCGGCATCATTGGACAGGAGTTCGTGGGTCGATCCCGTCCCTGACGCCTGCTGTATAGTTGGTGTTTTCGTGTTCTCCCTGGTGGCCGCGTGGAGTTTTCTCCGGGTCCTCCGGTTTTTTTTCCCTCCACAGATATTTACACGGGGAGGGTGGTGGTGGTTGCAGTAGTTTTGGCGTACTCGAGTTTGATTCTTGGCCACGGCTAACATCGCTGGCGAGTGATATCCAAGCTGGGCCATTTTCGCCCCTCCCTATCAGCAACCTGCACTGAGCAGCTGCTCACCCTGAGCTCTCGGTGTCCTGATGGTGGCATTGTCTTTGTGCTGTTTGCCTTTTGGCGTCCTCTCGTCCTAACCGTTTGAGACTAGGCTTTAAAGAAAGCTGTCGCTGGTGTGGACCAATCGGTTTAAAACACAATGCATATACTAGCAGAGCATGCGTTTTGTTTGCATGTTCAACACAAGTATGTGGTTAATGAAGACATGATTCTGTGTAAAAGGTTTCTGTTTTGTGTTTTGCCAGAGGGCAAACCCTATTATGTGACCGACGTAGTGTATAGGGAGGCCTTCATCTAGCAGTGGATTTAAAACGAGTTTTACTATTACTCTACCAGTTGCCAAGCAAGATTGCCGTTCTGAAATTTGCAACGGGTTTACTTGGTCATGTTTTTGTTTACGTAAAGCATGGGGGGAACGCATCCTTTAGGAGGGCGGTAAAATGTTCAGGGGGTGTGCACGTGTACATCCACCTGCGATCAATCACGACGTCGCACCTGATTACATATCCTTGGGGGGGGGGGAATTCAGAACCCGTTTCTAAAGAACACTAAATCAGTTTAGCACTTGAGAGCCCTCTTGCTACCGTCTGTATGCAAGAGAAATCCTCCTGCATTGAAGCTTTCGTGACTGCAGGAGTTACTATACTCATCGGTTCTCTCGGTAAAGTCGCGTACGTAGAAATAAAATTAAAGTAAATCACGACGTTTCGAACGCAACACAAGCGCTCGTCCTCAGGTGAAAATGGCTTAAACCACAGAAAGGGAACACAGAGGGACATCAGAGCACACGGAGAACGGCACACTGCACGGAGACAAATACAACAAGAAGATGGGAGACGCGAACTCGGCAAACCTTAGAAACATAATGCGATGCAACCCAGTCGGCCAACAACAGACACTAAACCTGGTTGACCACGTATTTCAAAAGACTGCTAAATTTTGTGTTCATCTTCTGGACTGAACACACCAACGTAAGCAGAGGACAAGGACTCGTAAACAGACACGTGTCTTTTGAAATACGTGGTCAACCAGGTTTAGTGTCTAACTGTGTTGGCCGACTGGTTTGCATCGCGTTATGTTTCTAATGTTTGAGTTCGCGTCTCCCATCTTCTTGCTGTATTTGCCTCCGTGCAGTTTGCCGTTCCCGTTGTGCTCTGTGTGTGTCCCTCTGGGTTCCCTCGCTGTGTGTTTTGCCCCATTTTCACCTGTATGAGCGCTTGTGTTGCGTTCGAAACGTCGTGATTTCTTAAAATTTTATTTTATTTCTACATACGGGACTTTACCGAAAGAACCAATGAGTATGGGCATCCTCTTGTGGGTCCGTGTGAGAATAATGATTAACAGTCGCCTCAATCCATTGCTTGCTGGAGGTGTCATGGTGGTTCTGACCATACTTCACCACATTGGTCTGTTGGCAAGGAAGGATGAGCATTTCCGGCGATGGCAGGGGCGGGTGGCTAACCGCGTACCTGAATTGTTTGACCGGTTCAGGTATCGCTGCCACTGATGTTCGTGATGACCTGGAATTGAACCCGGGTGCAGTGCATACTTTTTTTGGCAGTGCATTCCATTGAAGTGTGGACAATTATCTTTATTTACGTTGGGGAAAATCTCAATGTCAAAGTATCTTTCAATAGACTGCACAATTCATGTTTCTCGTGGTGTTTGTCGTGTGGAAGTTCTATTCATGGATTTTCTCCGGACTTTTCCGTAGGAGGGGATAAAATTATTCTCTGCACGGGCTAGCTTAGAAACCTACGGTCTGTACAGCCTCTCCTCCCATCAACAATGCCTCCAAGCTTCGTGCGAAGTGGTCAGATCGGTGAAGTAATACATTTTTGAATCTATCTGTACAGAGCTTGAGTGTTACTCCCGCATGTGCGTGGTGGATCGTATAAATGTGTGCCTAACATTCGCTGCATAATGGAACGTACCAATGCAAAAGTTTATGCTCGGTGACGTTTCTCTGGTCAAATAATTTGCAAGAGTGTTAATTACTACAGGCATACGCCCATCATACCACCATATAGACGTTACTGAACAAGTGATAAACATCCGGATTCTTTGTATGCAAAAGAATTCAGTTTATTTTGCGTCTTTCATGACATTTTCAGGCGCTAAGTAGTTAAGCATCTCGTGCCACGGTGGCGAGATGATAAAGCCACCAAAGGGCAATTTAGCTGACGTAGCAGCTGACGAGGAGCATGAGAAGATGCGACAGGAGCAGAGGTCGGTGTGAAGGAGATCGGTATTACCGTGGTGTCGCGGCATCTCTTCATAAATGCGAGGCGACTCGATCAGATGAGACTTTCTGTCCCATTTTTAAAATCCATCTACATGACTTTACCGAAAGACCCAAAGAATATGAATTCCTGCAGTCACGAAAGCTTTGAGTCATTGCTTTAAGAATAATAAAATAAGCTACGTAATATTATAATTGGAGCACTTGGAGATGACGAGTTCAACAGAGCTCCTCAGTTTATTTTTCAAGGGTCAATGAAACAATTATTTTATGACATATCTGCAGCGAGTTATTTTAGAGGATGGCCATTATATGAATGAACTTCTTTCACACCGTATGTAGCCAACTGTGCTCATCGAAGGTGCGGGGGTAAGGACGACAATTATATGACCCTTGCCATATGAATGTGGAATTACCGTCACCGACTCCTAAGCATCTAGTGAGCCATCATCCCTATGAGCACCTTGCCACTAACATTGGATGCCAGAAACCTTGAAAATTGAGCTTGGAATTTTGGCTTTACTTTTGTAATTCACGACCCAATTGTGCGTCAACATTTATCTTGACGCCCGCCGGCTCTATGGAACCCGGGAAGATGTCGCAGCCGGTCAACTTGATCTTATTTGCCAAGGTGTCCTCGTGGCCCACGGGGCTGTGTTGTGATCGCGAAGCCCTCCTTTTGCCTTTGGGGCAGATTCCAAGCTGTAATTGGACGAGCACACGCGGTGGGCCCTGGCGGATTACCGCCACCCCCTCCCCCTCCTAGCGTCCCCACCCGTGCCCCATCATCACTGGCTCTCCCCCGCCGCACCTAACCCATCCCAACATCAACCGCTGCTGTTTTCAAACATTTAGTGTCATGCGGCTTTGACGCGAGCGGTCGACCTGTTGCCGAGCTGTTGGATATCACCTCCCTCACCCCCCCCCCACGATCATGAATGGCTACAATATCTACATCGATATCGGTAAGTCGTTTTAGCAACCCGTGCTGCTATGCAGTTAACGATATTGCACATTTATGAGTGGTGATGAAGTTTTGAGAATGCGATTTTAATTTACGAAGAATAATATTTCGCGTACTAATGTCCCTGTGTATACAGTTCAGTTGTGTATGGTTGATTCTAAGCGTGTTTGTGTTAAAACAAGTATTCGGGCTGTGTAAATATCCATTGTTGGCTCTTAGCCAATGCTGAGTATTCAATATTCTCTTGACAGGGCGCAGTTTATTTTTTTATTGGATTGCCATTGTTTATTTCCCACTTGAAGTACTCGTTTAATTAAATCTGGATGATTGTGCGAGGCTGCATTTAATCTTGAGAATTAATAAAAGTGCAACCCTCGAAGTGTCAACTCAACCCACGGTTGAGTGCAGGCATATAACTAAGGTTAAGTAAAGGGTTAAACCTCGTCTTATTTTTCATACTTTGATACTGGCGCAAAGGTCCCGTGGTTTCGCTGCTCAACCCAAGCTATATAATGTTCTGATACGTGTATTGTCTTTGTACTGTTCGCGTTTTGGCGTTCTCTGATCTGACACTTGAGACGAGGCCATAAAGAAAGTTGTTGCTCTGATACAGGCCAATCGGTTTCAAAGACGATGCTTATATTAAGAGGGTGTTTGTTTGCATGTTCACCACAAGTACGTGTGGTTAGTGCAGACTTGATTTCTTTCAAAAGGTATTTGCTATTTTAACATCTGAACATGTTTTACCCTTTATGGCTATGAAAAATATTTTCTTATTTTCATACTTTGATATTGGCAAGAAAGGTCCCATGATAATTCAAGTATGTATTGACCATTTGACATTATTGTTTACACTTATTCTCCCAGATTCGATTAAATATGTACCCAATTCTGGGAAGTAAACAATGGAAATAATCCAACACCTGACTGGGCTCTGCCATGGGAATATGGAATGTTCAACAACTTGCCGAGGTCTACCAGTGGCAATGTGCACAACCCCTAATGCTTGTTTGCTCAAGAAAACGCTGCGCTACCACGCCACTCAAAATCATTTGTGAAGGAAACTTAGGTAATGTATAGTGGTGTGTTCATGCGTACGTGTAACGTGGATCATTGTTGAAGGAGCCGTGTGGGGTTGAAGACTCGGTCACCCAGTGTTCACCCAAGATGAGTAAAAACCTGTTGAGAGATTTAACCACCTGTCAGGCAAACCATCTCTGCTCATAAATCAACGCCAACCGCAGTGTCTGTGGCTGGAGGCTTCGTCAGTGTGTGGTCTCTTGCCTAAGGAGAAATTCAATCTTGAACACCTGCGTAGCACTGCAAGTGGGCAGTGGTCAACATCCGAAGACGATGGCTTCCCCACCATAGAAATGTGGAATTGTGCCATTGACGCGGGCGCCACCAATAGAGACGAACGCTCCTGGGAGACGTTTGCGCTCGACGGATCGTGGCCCCGCACGGCGGATGCAGGGGGGGGGGGGGCTCCTCGCACCACGTGGGCAATGAGGGGTAGCTCGCGGTGCGACCGCAGTCGCCAACCTCAAACCGTGGCAGCTTCGGATCCTTCCCCTGCCAACATTTGTGGATATTCACCTTGCTACCCCTGCAGCCCGCTCGTCAACCTTGCCATGAGAATCTGTGTCGGTGCCACTTGGCGCCACTCGTGACATAATTGTAGGCTATGCCACTTGCTTCGTACGTGGATTAAACGCTTGATTTATATTCTGGCATGGTCTACTAAAAAGGAACGGATCAACATGTAGTGATTTACAGATTTGATGGTGGATAATTACCGTGTTCAAATCCTGTGCTTTGTTTGGCTCGTCCGACGCCACCTGAGATTGATACAATCGGTGCCATTTTGTCACCGATGTTTATTCTATGGGGAGACTTTATTTCATCGTGGTAATGTGGCATTTTCTTTTAATGGCACATGTCTAGCCCACGTAAGCAAAACTCGGACTTGAGTCGTCTTCAGTTCGCTATGCCGTATGAGAATAGGTTTTCCCCTTTTCTGGCAACAAAACGGGCGTTAAGATGTTAAAACACCAAACTGAAACCTTTTACAAGGAATCATTTCTGCGTTAACCACAATACTTGTGGTCAGAATGCAAACAAAACACTCTGATAATATATGCATTGTCTTTGAAACTGATTGGTCCACACCAGAGACGGCTTTCTTTCGAGCCTTGTCTCATAGTTTTTTCTTTGCATTCTGACCACAAGTATTGTGATTAATGCAGACATGATTCCTTGTAAAAGGTTCAAGTTTGGTGTTTTAATATCTTAACGCCTGTTTTGCCAGAAAAAAGGGGAAAACCTATTCTCATAACTTGGTACTGGCAAAGGAGGTCCCATGATGATGCAGTGTCATGTGCAGGGTCATTGTCAGACGAGGTAGTTCAATTTGGAAAAAAGTTGAGCATTAACCTCTTTTTTTTGCTTAATGCCAGAGGCGTGACGGTGTAGGGGGCTCACTTTCCTGGAGCCCCAAAACAATCCAGCTGCATGGTTTGACCCCACTGCTGCCCAAGGTTATGTGGTACTAGCATCCAACCACGACCCTGGCCAGGACCTTCAGAGCGACCCCAGCAAGCAGAATCAAACCCGCAGTCTCGAAGAGAATCGTCGATGTGTGGAAAGTCGATGCGAAGTTGCCCCCCAGTGTTGTCCAGTCATGGGCTGGAGTGCAGGATCGCTTTAATTAAAGCCCATTCTTGTTGAGTCATATCGCCTGCCATTGATTCCTAATCGTCTTGGAATGCATTTTTATTTGCCGGTCCCTCCCAAATGATATTGGTGGAACACGTAAGCGCCAGGGTTTACCGTAATCCCAGTTGAACAATAATAAATACTTTGTACACACGAGGCAATGCGCAGCAATGCAGACCTTTCAAAATCCAGGATATCCCTTAAATTGAACTTGTGGGTCCAGCCTTTTTTCTAAGCCTGCAACTCTTCTGTGCAGCTAATCTACCCAGTCGCTCAAATTCCCTTTGTCACACCTGACGTGTGAATGACGGCCGTACGGATGTATACGAAATATTTGCGATGGGATCTTTGTGTGAAGTAGCCCCTTTTGTGCAGTGGGTGTGTGGGCGCAGCCAGATGTCGGCCGGCGGAAACCAGAACAATTTAATGTGCCTAAGAAACAACGTTTGTTGTCTGCCTTCGCTCAGAAACCATAACAGGGCCGCGTAAACAGACAAACACTTGAATGTGGCACTCGAGGTGAAGAAAAATGTTGCCCTTTCTGGATGGGTAACTATTGGATTCGTCAACCCTCATCCTTTCCCTGTTGCCAAACTTCGCTCGCTCGAACTTACAAAGACGCGCAGGTTCTTTGCGTCTCCAATGCAGTGATCCGCATTTAGTTTTTGTGATGGGGCCGCGTAATTGTTGTCGTTGGCCCTCCACCACCCGACTTGTCACGTCCACGCAGATGTTGTTTGTACGTGGCCGGTGTATTCGTCAAATTCTGACCGATATTTAGAATTTCTCATTTGGTGGCTTCAGACTTTTTATGGGCGAATGTTGTGCCTCGGATTTAGCACGGTCGACGACGTCCCGCGCGAAATAAGTTAAACGTGCGTAACGATGTAACATCAACGAGACGACGTCTTTTTCAAACGGCTTTGAGTTTCATCCGGTAGTTAACCCTGAGGTCAATACGGATCACACTGAAGTGATTAACCATTGAATGGCTGTTGTGAACGTCATGCCAAGTGTTGCCTTTGTTTTGTACGTACATTTTGCTGATGCTGGATCTGAGCGGTGTTTTGCTAATGTCATTTCGGTACACACTGCCTTTTCTATTAGCGAGTTCCTCAACAATAATAATTAAAAATAACAATTTCAACTTGCAAAGCGCCCTTAAACACGGGGGAACACATCATTTTAGTGTGCAGTAAAATGTTCGGTGTGCGCGCACGGGGCGTGTACGTCCACCTTGCTCTATCAATCGTGATGCCGCGCCTGATCACTAAATTTCCTTCGACGGGAAATTCCGAAGCCTTAAACGAGTGAAATGACGACTTTGTGTAATACGACGCGCGGGGGGTTCGTCAACCTGCAGCTTCGGAGCCGCATGCAGCTCGTCCTGACGACTGCTTCGTGACGTTCTGTATGAAGCACCCGCCGTCTTCACGTGGATTGAGGCTCTTGAAATATCGAGGTCTTTTTTTTTACATGATTCGAAAAGAATGCCTCTTATTCTTATTGTGCTTGCCGTCCCCCCCCCCCCCCCTTGCATGTTAAGCTAATTTTTAAAGGCTGTTCAGCGTATATGTACGTTTTCAGTCTGTGGATAAACGTATTTGTCTTCTTGGTTCTTTCGGTAAAGTCACGTACAAGGGAAATAATAAAAATAAAACATAATAAAATACTTCTCACGACGTTTCGGCCACAACGCAAGCAGCCGTCCTCAGGTGAAGACCAGGTTTGTCGGGGAGACACCGTCAGCATCAGCTGTCTCCCCGACAGACCTGGTCTTCACCTGAGGACGGCTGCTTGCGTTGTGGCCAAAACGTCGTGAGAATTATTTTATTATGTTTTATTTGTATTATTTTATTACTTCCCTTCTACGTGACTTTACCGAAAGAACCAAGAAGATGAATCCCTGCAGTCACGAAAGCTTTAAATCGAAACGTATTTGTTTTTCATTAATTAGACTTAATAGATGATGGGCTTAGTAAATTTAATTTGCAAGCCTAATTACGAATTTCGATATATTCTGAAAGCGGGTAGCAACATCCCATTATGGATAACCGTCTAAATACATTGTTTTAATCATCTTTTTGCAAAGTATCACCTAATTTGTGGGCTCTATTATTTTTGGGAGAGGCGGCTTGACGATGAGTTGAACTGTGCGAGTTTTTTTATGGCGCGCACAGTAACAGACTCTTATCGAATAATAGCATCGATGGAAAACGCAAACACCGCTGTCATCGGATCATGCAAAACACGTGGCGTTATACCTCGTGAAGGTTAAACACGGGG